CCTTAATGTCCACGGGCAACGCCAGCTGCACCAGGAGGGACAGAAACCCAAGCAGAGAACAGGAGGTGCTTTCGAGAAATGGAAGAGCTGTGGTTGAGCTGGTCTGGCGTTTTTCTGAGCTTCCCTGCATGACGGAGCAGGGTAAACAAGGAGACATTTCAGGAGCCACAAGGAGCACCACAAATTCATAGAATAGTGGAGATGGAAGGGGCCACGAAGGCCATCGGGCCCAAACCTCTGCTGGTGCAGGACTCCTAGATGCAACATCCCTCCCAGAGGGCTGTGCAGCTGCGTCTTGCAAGCCTCCAGGGTGGGAGAGCCCACCACCTCCCCAGGCCAGGGGTCCCACTGCTGTATTGCTCGAGCAGTCAGGAAGTTCTTCCTGATATCAATCAGAATCTGGCCTCCTGCAACTTGAGCCCACTGCACTCTGGGATGACGGAGAACACGGCCTGGCCTTCCTCGTTGGGACAGCCCTAAGTCCTTGTAGCTGCTGGCCTGCCTCCGCTCGGTCTTCTCGAGGTTGAACATGCCCAGTTCTCTCAATCTTTCCTTACAGGGCTTTGTCTCCAGTCCCTGGATCACCCTTGTTGTCCTCCTCTGCACCTTTCCAGCTTGGCAGTGGTGGTGGCGGCAGCGGATGCTGCTGCTTCTCCTCCTCCTCCTCTCCTGCAAAGACACTCCTCACTTCCCTCCCCTTCTGCTGCATGGAGGAAAGGGAATTCTGGCAAATGCAAGAACCTTGCGGGACAAGCTCACCTGCTGGGACTCTCTTCTCAATCCCCCCCCCCCCTTGGAGCAGCCTTCTGCAATCGAGGGCCCTCCAGGTGCATTGGATTACAAGTCCCAGCTTCCACAAGGCAGCTGGGAGTTGTGGCCTGACGCATCTGGAGGTCACCCAGGTGGGAAGCGTCCTCTTCCTCGTCCACCTTTGATTTCTCCCCCACAGCGTCCCACTCCCTTAGCCAGCCAAAGTGATCCGGAACGCAACAGCAGGTGAACTCGGCCTTGGCCTCCAGTGACGTGTCTTTACCTGCAGTCTTCTTCCCAGTTCCTTCCGGGCAGCCCATCCAAGCCGCAGCCTGCTTTGAGTTTCTTGGCTGCAGCCTCCCTTTGAGCTGAAGACTGAGCCGAGAAATTTCTTCATTGTTGACAGTAAATTTCTGCACTCTGCAGTCATGCCTTTGTCCTTTTAAAGTTCTGCTGCTTTTGCTCTTCCTTCTTTCACCTTGATCTGGAGTCATTGCCTTCTTCTGCCAGGAATATGATGCCATAGTTGGTCAAAATCCCATGACCGAAGCATCAGATATGAGAACACTGAGATAAACTTCCAAGCTGGCAGAAAGAACTCTCTGGGAAGTGGTTCTGCAGCAGCAGCAGCAGCAGCAACGGGGTAAACTCCCTGCAAGCAGAAATCCAGCACTGCAGGGAAGGTGGTTCTACCCAGGCAGCTGGTGACCCCTTTCATTGCAGTTCTGTTGAAAGGGAAAGAAAGTGCAAGAGCAGGACAGTAGTTGTGATTTTTGCGGAAAACAAAGATCATGGCTGCAGAGGAATGGCAAAACTTTACTGTCAACATGAAGAAATTGAAATTGTGGGAGATTGTATATACGTCAGCCCAGTCCTCCTTGTTCCAGGGGGAACAAGGAGGGAACCAGAATTGATCATCAAGCCTGAGGATGTTTCACGGGAAAACCAGGCCAAGATGTTTCCCACCATTGAATTCCTGATCACTCTGTGTGGGTGCGAACGTCGGACGGGGAAGAAGCAGACAGGAAGAAAATTGATGCATGCAAACCATGCTGCTGGAATACCCTGTAAACAGAAAGGTAAACAAAAGGGCCAGCCATCCAACCAAGCTGGGGCTCTCTCTAGAAGCCAAAATGACAAAATGGAGGCTGTCTTAATTTGGACACACCATGAGAAGACAAGACTCCCTGGAGAAGACAGACATGCTGGGGAAAGTCAAAGCAGCAGAAGAAAAGGAGGATCGAACATGGGAAGCTCAAGTCATAAAGGAATAAAGGAAGCTCAAGTCTGGCATTGCAAGAGCAAAGCAGGACAGAACTTTTAGGAGACCTTAAGAGCAGCATTTGTTCCAGCTTTTAGGCGGAGCTCTGGATCAGCTATCCATGGGGCCAGCCGCCAGTCCAAACACAGACCCACCACTGTGAGGGTGGACATAGGGGGCGTCACACCCTACCCTGGAGTTCCAGTGTAGCCTTTGCGCCCCTGAACCCCTGGTTTATGTGCACTGAATCTCAGAAGACAGGCAGAAAAGCTTTCCACACAGACTCTGCCATTTGCAGCGGAACTGCCCTTTTCCCCACGTACTCAAGACTTAGGGTGAATTGAGAAGCTAGTTTTGCAAACGGAGCTGCTTCTCAACGCCTGGTTTGGGCCTGGTCTGGGCCAGGAAAAGAACGGTGCTCATCCCAGAACACTGGACATGACACAAGAGTCGATTGCTTTCACAATTTGCTTTAATCAAGAGGCAGAAGCTTGGGAAGTGACGGCAAGGGATGCAAAGCGTTTTTCGGCCGGAGAGCAAGGAGTGCGGGGGGAGCGGACACGGCCTTCCGGAGAGGGTCTGCGAGGGTCCTGCTGCTGGGAATGTCAGGGGGCATCTCCATTTTTGAAAGGATCCTGGGGAAGCTCATGGTTTCCGGATTTCGGGGAAGATTCTAGCGCTAGGAACGCAAAAGGGAGACAGAGGTCAGGCTGGGAGCAGCTTTGGATGTTCAAAAGTCTGTGGTGTCAACGGCAGAGGAGCCCCAGATGTTCCTTGTGGAAACACCAGCGTGGCCCC